ATTCGAACGACCTCGCGCGCGTGCTGGGGGGGCACGATCCCGGTCACAAGTTTCCCGGACCACTCGCGCGTCGGCCGCGCGCGCATGTCGAACTCCGTCGACGCGAGGACGCCGTCATCGTCGCCGCCATGATCAGCATCGGCGCCGTAGGTGTCTTTGCCGCCGTCGTTGTCGTCATCATCACCAACATCATTTCTATCATCATCGTGTCTGCCGTTGTCGACGTCGTTACCGTGCCCGCCCCAGACGCCGTGTCGCATTGAAGTGACCGCCGGGAAGTGCCCAGCGGTCAGCGCCACTGCGGCCGCGTTGGTCGCGCCAAAATAGATGGCCGCTGCGTGCGAGCATGCGCGGGTTAGCGCGGCCGCAGAGATGCACCAGTCACCACCAACCGCTTCTCGCAATCGCAGCCGCATGGGTTTAAATCAAGTTGCGGGTGTGTGGGTGGGATGATTGCACGAGCTGTGGGGTTGACAATTCAGTGCGAACATACATCAATTCTCTTTTGTAAAAAGAGAATAGGTTCTGGCACCCTCCCCCCCTCGAGTTTAAAGAAGACCCCCCAGAAACCGATGTAAAACAGAGGATTCAGACCTACTGTCCATCCTACTTGTGAGTTCATTTTATCCCAGTCAAACCAGTATTGGTTCCCCCCGCCATCCTCTGCAACAAATATCATGCGCGCGCACTTGTTCATAAAATATCATAAGGTTCCAAGAGTCCCTTGCAAAAGAAGCAGGACGAAGTGTACACGCGCGCGTCGTCGAGCGCGCATGCCGAAATCCTTCAAGAACCTTCAGTTTCGGAAGGACTTCAAGAACCTTCTTTTTCGCATGCCCGTGTTCCAGTGTCCGTCACTTCGTCACCGCTGCCCATTGCTCGCCGTCGTCTCCCTGAGGGCTTTCGGCTCGACGCACTTTCAGCTGCTCGACTGTTGATCTCGGGCGTACGTAGAGGACTCATGACTTCCAACCCCGGGTTCGCGCGTAATTAGCGAAGCTGGTGCTGTTTTATTCGTATAAGATACATCTTCACAACCAGAAGCTTTCGGAGGTCCGCTCAGATCTCTTGGGTCGGCGCTGGCCTCCCTGGCGGCGCCTCCAGCGGGGGGAGGGGGGTTGTCCAGCGCCTACCCGCCAACTTCGCGCGGACTTCCGACAACTTCTTCCCAACCCTCCTGTGTTGTTGAGTCCTCGTTTTGGATCCGCAGCGCCGCACCCCACCTCCTCCTCCTCCTCCTCTTCCTCCTCCTCCCCCTCGGCCCTAGTGGGGAATTCCGCAGGGCGTACCCTTCCTCCCACCTCGGCGCACCCTTCACATGTTTCGTGGCCACATCGGGAGCTGCACTAGTGGGAAAGCCCGCATGGCGCAGATCGCAGCCCCTATACTGGTCACTGGCCAACCTGTCAGGCCTGCGAGCGGCCGCCGCCACTGAACAGCCCCCTTGGGGAGATCGCATACCTGCCAGTGGGGGGCACCCATTGCTTGGGGCGCACCCCAACTCACAGCCTGCCACCCGGGCTTGCTGACGAGGGCACGCCCTGGCGAACAGTCCCAAATGCGAGCACCTGCATGCGTGGCGCCCTGCACGGGGCAGCGTCGCAGCGGGCCCCTTGCTCGTTCGGCCGAGCCTGCCCTTCCGGGGAGAGGGCGGGACGGATGACGCGCCGGTGGGGGGACGGGGCAGGATATGGGGCAGGGCGGGTGGGGATAAGCGGCGGGGTCGGGGCAAGCCTCCTCCTCCTCATCCGCCTCCTCGTCCGCCTCCGCCTCCTCCTCCTCCTCCTTCTCCTTCTCCTTCTCCTTCTCCTTCTCCTTCTCCTTCTCCTTCTCCTTCTCTCCTTCTCCTTCTCCTTCTCCTTGGCTCAACAGCAATCGTCCGTCCAGGAAGCAGGGGGGCGTCGGGGCGGGGGGCGAATGCGAGAAGTGAGCGGGGAAGGCGGCGGGGGTGCACGAGGATGATGACAAAGTGGGGAATGTCGTCCTTAGGGCAGGCCTGCTGTGGCAAGGGTCTGGCCTCTTGCTCGGACCGCTTTGCTTAGCTGGGAGCGGCGCGGGGTACCTGCGGGGTCAGTGGGCGCAGACTCGTGGCGGCACCGCGCCAATTTCGGCACACCCCTCGCGAGGACCTGGGCCCGATAGGGAATTCCACCTACGTTTTCATTGGGTGCAAGCGCATGCTGGCACCGCGCCAATCTCAGCACACCGTTCAAGAGGGTCGTTGCCCCATATAGGGCTCCGTCTACCTTCTCGGTGGGCGCAGGCGCATGCCAGCACCGCGCCAACGTTGGCACACCCATCACGAGGACCGTGGCCCCATATGGAACTCCACCTGCTGTCTCAGCGGGCGCAGACGCATGGCGTTGACGCGCCAGCACATGTTTCGTGCCGTCACGTGGAGATCAGCGCGCCCCAACATTCGCATTGCCCCAACTGTCAATCCGATCCGCGGCGCGCAGTGCATGAGGAGAGGACCACGCGCTGCGCTACACGCTACGGCAGATGCAGCAGCTGGTGCGCTCTGCGCGCCAGTGAAGGGTGTCCAGCGCCGACCCCAAATATCCGCGCGCACCTCCGATATTGTCCTCTGGGCGTGCGCGACGCCGTTCTGCGTCCCGAGGGCAACATTCCACGCGAGGGGCGCGCATCAAGTCCTGTCCGTGGCCACCTCAGGGTGGAGGGCTCGAACTTGCACCTCGGGTTTCCCCTCTGAGGCCCGTCTTGAGGCCGTCTTGGAAGCCTCTTGAGGCTCTCTTGTCTTGGGGCTCTCGGGGCCGTCCTGGAGCGGGCTTGAGGGCCTCTGGAGCTGTCGTGGGCGCTCTTGAGACATACTTTCGAAGCCATGCATCAATCATTTGTGTCTCAAAGACTTTGGCTGGCCCTAAGGGCCTCCAGGACGGTTCAAGAAGTCCCCACGAGAGCCCCAGGACGAGTTCCCAATCGCGCCCCTGATGCCCTCACAAAAGCCACGCGGCAATCCCCAAGAGCGCCCGAGAGCGCATAGGAATCCACAGAATTCGAAGGTCTGGGGGTCTGGGCCCCTTGAACAGCTTATGGACCCTAATGCAGAGAGCTCGACCACTTAGTGCCGCGTGGCACGGCTGCATAGCAGTGCATTATGCATTGTGCGAAAACGATAGATGTCGAAGTGTGCATCCCATATTGGTTGGGGTACATCAGACTTGCAAAGTGGATGCCGCGACTATCGGCAGACGCCTGCGAAATATAATAACGGACTCGGGAGGCCACCGACAGCTATTTGACGACGAGAGGAACGTGGTCCACAGTTACAATATATTGACATTCGTACCTGGCGCACCACCGTGTCCTACATAAAGAGTCGAGTGCTCTCTTGTCATTGCACATATGTGTCTGTCCATACGTTGGAGCGTACGATTTGGACATGCCGGAAACCATTGGAGGCTTGGGAGTGGACCTGTGCCATATGCTGGCGAATGTTAATGCCTGGAACGGCATAACCAACTCATAGCAGAGAGCAGAGCGCACTGCTCGAATTTCCTGCATGAGCCGTCTGGCCTTTTTCCCTTCTCTTTCCCTTTCCCCCTCCCCTTCCCCCACGCCTGTTACTGCTGCTGGTCATGCGGGCCGTTGGGCGCCTGCTAATTCGTGCGACTCGAGGTGGGCCTCGTCATATATTCCCACGTAGATGGCGATGACTATTGGGCGGTGGCGTCGTGCCCACAGGAAATTCGTATGCTTGACCTTTTTCGTGGTCCTCGAGCTGTTCGGCCGACCCGATGTGAAAAGGCATGTTGCGCCGAACAAGGGAAAACTCCACCTTCCCTCGTCCTTCCCATTCCCCCCTCTCCCCCGTCTCCTTACTCTACCCCACCTTATCCCACTCGGGTCGGTGGGTCGCCCATGTCGACCCCTTCCCAGCAGACGCTTCGACAGACACTGGACTTTATTGCGACCCCCTTCGCCATCATGGTGAACAACTGATGCAGCGTGTATTGTGTGCCGCGCCTCGCCTGCTGAGCAACATGCTGCCGCCATGTGGGCGGGACCCTGAATTATCGGGCGCGCACGCTGGACAACATATGCCCCCTACCACCCTGGTGCAAGCAATACCAAATTGCACGTGGCGCCCTCCCTACAGAGTGAAGTAAGACCAGGGAGTTTGTCGCACCTGGTACGCATGGCGCACGTGGTGCAGCACCTGGCGTGGCTGGTGCCCATAACGCACCTGGCGCAGCGGGCGCGCCAGTCGCATCTGGCACATCTGGCGCGCTTAGCGAATCTGGCGCACCTTCCGCCAAGTTTCGGTACTCTCTATGTGCCGGCACGGCGGGTGGGAGTGAACGCGATAGCCCGTGGCTTCCCTTTGGGATCTTGGCCCTTACCCCGTCCCCAGCCCATACCCTCACCCCTGCTATTACGACAGGTCCGCGCCGCGTCGACGCTGGCACGGGCATCCAAGGTTGAAGGCCACTGGCGGCCCGAGCAATCCCAGCATGGAGCAACCTCCGCATGATCGAAACATCTTCGCGGTGTCAGCAACCAGTGCCCGCGTCATGCGGGCCGGACGACAGGGTAGGATAGGGAGAGGGGGGTTCACGAAATCTGCTGCATGCAGCTGGTTTCCGCCCCGCCGCCGGGCCCATTCCTCGATACTCGGGCGCCTCCCGGCGCCAGGAGGCGCCAGGCAAACCGGCTACGTGAGCTGATTCTCGACCCTAGCCTTTGCTATCCTACCCTCTCGTTCTCCCCCGAGACGTCACGGCAGGAACCAGCCCCAGACCTGCGACGTCTTGATTTTTTCAGGACGGCGTCCCCAGAAGTCCCGACCCTTTCCCCACGACCGGCTTCTCGTCCCGAGCCGTTTTTGGACGGCCCCAGGGCCAGGCGAGGGCCCCCCAGACCGACAATAGCGACAAAACTTCCCGTCCTGATTTTTCTTTTTTTACGACGCGAGCACGTTTGGGGCCGTGCCCGTCCCTCGCACCTTTGTCTCCCTGCTTTCCGCCCCCTTCCCGCAGGTGGGCGAGCACCCCGTGGAGCTGTTCGGGCACCCGGACACGAGAGCTCCCGAGGCCTTCTGGGGGGCCGGGGCCTGGGGGGTGCTGCTCTCCTCCCGCTGCGGCGCCTTCTGCTCTCCGCTCTGCTGCGCCCTCCTCCTCCTCCTCCCTCCTCCCTCCTCCTCCTCTCCTCCTCCCTCCCTCCTCCTCCCTCCTCCTCCTCCCTCCTCCCTCCTCCTCCTCCTCCTCCTCCCTCCTCCTCCTCCCCCCTCCCTCCTCCTCCCTCCTCCTCCCTCCTCCCTCCTCCTCCCTCCTTCTTCCCTCCTCCTTCCCTGGTCTCTCTTTCTGTTCCCTCCCTCCCTCTCGGGGGCTGCCAGGAGGGTTCGTTGGGCGAGGTTGGTTTTGCTTGACTTGAGCCACCCCCAGCCCGACCTGAAGCCCCACTGCTTGACCTGAGGCGCCCCAGCGGTCGCCGAAATCACCCTTTTTGAGCCAGCCCTTCGCGCCGTTCCCGACCCTTCTGCCCTTCCCGCTGTTTCTGCTTCGGCCCCGCCGCTTTGTGGGTCAAGGGGGGGGGGTCGGCTGCTCGCTGAGCCGATACGCAGACTTAGGATATTCGCGTGGCCCCCCTCCCGCGGACGTGGACATTTTGAAGCCAAGACGGAAAACGATGATGCCAGCGTGGGTCCGAAGCGGCCCATTCGTGGAACTAGCAGGTGCAGTCTAGCAGGATTTCGTGGCCTAATGGCGGGACCTTTATTCAAGGGCATGGACAACGCCCCTACCCTGGTTTACGAGGCGCTGTGCGCTGAAACTCCTGTGGGCTGACGGGGTGAACCCTGCGTGCTGTGCCGCATCCTGGCGGCTCTAGGCTTTGGGGGTTCCCAGGAGGTTTACAGACCACGTACTTCTAACCCAGGGTAGGGCCGTTTTTTCATCCCTCAGTTTATGCAATGCAACACGGAGCAAAGCAGTGCAAGCAGAGCAATGCAAAACACCGCGTGCAGAAACACGCATTTCAAACAATTCGCAGCAATGCATAGCATTTACTGAAGGGCAACACAACGCACATAGATGCGCAGACAAATCAAACAATGCGTGCGAAGTGCAATGCAATGCACTGCACTCTCGCTCAATGCAACGCAGTGCACATCTATGCAACCTAGTACGTAGTTATGCAAAACCATGCAATGCGAAACAGTGCAAGTCAATGTACACCCATGCAATTCATAGCAGCGCGAATACCTTTTCATTCAACGCAGCGCCGCGCGTAACCGTCCAAAGTCGTGCAGTGCCAGACGGTGATGAGCAGGGCAAGGCATCGCATGCCAGTGCAATGCTGCGCAGTACTGAGCAGTGCAGAGCAGGTCTAGGTTGGTGCAGTCTGGCTGGACCTGGCGGGCGGGACCCCGTGGGCAGGACAGTATGGTATCCCAGACATCTCCGAGTCGCACCACTGGTGGGATCCCACGGCACCCCCAAATTCCTTTGTCCACAAACCCAGCTCGTGAGGCCAGATGCGATCCTCCCATGATCCCCCCTCCACCCCCCTGTTGTTCCTCCTCCCTCCTCCTCGTCCTCGTCCTCGTCGTTATCCTCCTTCCTCTTCTCTTCTCGCCCCTCCTCCCTTTGCACCTCTCCCCCCTTCCCCCTTCTCTCCCTCCTCTCCAGCTCTTCTCTTCTCGACCTCTTCCCCCTCCCACCGCTTCCCTTACTCCCGTCACTCCCTCGTCCCCCCTTCCCTCCCACATCGCCCCCCTCCTACCTTCTCCACCTCTACCCCCTCCTCCTCCTCCTCTTCCTCCTCTTCTTCCTACCCTCTCCACCTCTTCCCCTCCTCCTCCTCCTCCTCCTCCTCCTCCTCCTCCTCCTCCTCCTCCTCCTCCTCCTCCTCCTCCTCCTCCTCCTCTTGCTCCGCGCCCTGTCTCGCCGTCCCTCTTCGCCCTTGCCGCCCGCGGTGGTATTTCTGCCCTCGGTGAGCTCACTGCCGCCCCCGCCGCGTGCGCGCCGTCGCTCCGTCGATTCCCTGCCCTCGGAGGTTCTGCCTGCGGTCAGCCCATGGCCGCTCCCGCTGCCTGCTGGTGGCGACACCGTGGCCCGTGGGCGCGGGCCCTCTCTTCCGACGCCGCACCTCTTCCAGGACGTGGGCCCCCCCGAGGGGGATCTGCAGCCAGCGTGCCACCACACCGCGGGGGCCCACGCCAAGAGGCACCCCTGCTCGCCTCCAGGGTGCCCCTGGGTTTTCTCTCGGGTCTCGAGGGCTGTCCCATGGGGAGCCTGGCGCTCCCACGCCACCAGGCAAGGGGACGCCCTGGGGCCTCGGGGTTGGGCTTCTGGTGGCCAGGCCCCTGCGGTGTGGCCTCGGCGTGGCCGGGCCACGAGCCGGTTCCGTGGCGCGGGTGCGAGGAAGCATCGGCCCGACGGCCCGCGCCCCTCCCGCGCCCCGGGCGGTCCTGCTCCCGGCGCCTGGACGGTGCTCCGACCGCTCCCCCGAGGGCCAGCCCTCTCCTCCCGCGCCGTGCTTCTGGGCCGGCCCTGGGGGGGCAGGAGTCGGCCTCCCGAGGCCGAAGGCCACAAGCGGAGCGGCCACGACAGCCAGGGAGGAAAAAAAGCGCCCGGGCCGGACACTTTTTGGCGTTGACGGAACGGCCCTGGGCGTCCACTAGACGGCCCTGCCCTGTCTGATTCCTTATCTCTGGGCGCGTTCACTCAGACGACTTCTCGCGTGTCGGGGGGCGGTTATTTTGCGGGGGCGGGTTCTTTGGATTTCTGCATTCTAGGCCTCCTAGATGGGGTCGGAGTAGATGGGGTCGGAGGATCGCGCCGCATCGCCGATGTATCGACGATGCGTCTCGATGCGGAGCCCGATGTGCTTCACGTCTACGTCGCCATTGCATCGCCGACGTCGTCGATGCATCGCCAGTGCATCGCCGATGCATCGTCGATGCATCGCCGATGTATCGCCGATGTGGCGCGATCCACCGACCCCATCTACTGCGACCCCATCTAGGAGGCCTCTCTGCATGACGGCTCCTGCTGCGGCGCACTGCTGCGGCGCACGGATCTGAGGACCTGAGGACCCGGGAGCTCCGCGCCGCTGCCGCTCTGCGTGTGCCGGCGGCGGCGCCTCGCGGGCCTCCCCGGGGGGGGGGGGGCGCAGGCCTCCAGCCGCGCCGTCCTGGGCAGCCTCGCCGCCGTCGCCGCGGGGGAGGCCCGCGGGGGGGGGCGGCGTCTTCGTGCGCAGGCAGCGGGGCGCCGGCCCGTCCCGGGAGGCGGCCACTGAGCACCTCACCGGTCCTGGCCAGGCCCATCCTCGACTAGACGTAAGAGTGACCTTTCGCCGGAGTGACCTTTGGTGCGGGCACAGATGGGTCCCCAGCTGGCTGAAAATGAAGCAGGAGCAGCGGCTTAGAGGAGGAGGAGGAGGAGGACGGAGGAGGAGGAGGAGGAGGAGGAGGAGGAGGAGGAGGAGGAGGAGGAGGAGGAGGAGGAGGAGGAGGAGGAGGAGGAGGAGGAGGAGGAGGAGGAGGAGGAGGAGGAGGAGGAGGAGGAGGAGGAGGAGAGGAGGAGAGGAGGAGGAGGAGGAGGAGGAGGAGGAGGAGGAGGAGGAGAGGGAGGAGGAGGAGGAGGAGGGAGGAGGAGGAGGAGGGAGGAGGAGGAGGAGGACGAGGAGGAGGAGGAGGAGGAGGAGGAGGAGGACCCCCAAAAAGCCGCGCACCAAAGGCCACTCTTACCCGGGCGTGTGGCCGACGTCCTGGGCCCAGGGTCGGTGCAGGCGCCCTCCTGGCTCGGCCGGGGAGGCCCGTGCGGCCCATGCAGGGCCCGGGATCGGCCCGGCCAGGGTGGTCGGTGAGGTGGTCAGCTGACCTCGCCCGGCTGTTCTCCCTCCCAGTCCGTCCGTCCGTCCGTCCTCCGTCTCCCCCCCCCCGGCGCTGCTGCTGCTCCTCCTCCTCGCCTTTCCACCTCCATGGAGCCCATTTCTTTGTCGCGTGGGCCATAACGCGCGTTGTGGCCCCTCCGCCCCCCCCCCCCCGCCCCCCAAAACGTACCCCGGTGCGCCCCCGGCACTGCCGCCGTGCGCATAGGGCTCCGCATAGGAACCCGCATAGGGATCCGCATAGGCATCCGCACAGAAATCCGCATAGGGATCCGCATGGGGATCGCACACAGATGTCCATCGGGATCCGCATAGGGATCCGCATGGGGATCCCCAGGGATCCTTATAGAGATCCGCATAGGGATCTGCATGTGGATCCGTATAGGGATCCGCGTGGGGATCCGCATAGGGATCCCCAGAGGCATCCGCACAGGGATCCGCATAGGGATCCGCATAGGGATCCGCATAGGGATCCGCATAGGGATCCGCATAGGGATCCGCATAGGAATCCGCATGAGGATCTGCATAGGGACCCGCATAGGCATCCGCATAGGGATCCGCATAGGGATGCGCATCGGGATTCCCAGAGTGTTCCTCATATGGATTCGCATAGGGATCCGCATAGGGGCGGTGGTCGCGGGCAAGTTGTGGTGCTCTCAGGCACATGTGGTGTTCGCAGGAGAGAGGGATGGAGAGAGAGAGCGAGAGAGAGAGCAGTAGGAGGAGACGGGCGAGACCGACAACGACGTCGACGAGGAGGATGAAGGAGGGACGTAAGGAGCTTACCTCTTATACGCCACGTGGAGGCAACGACGCCTTCGCAGGCATGTGCTCGCCACAACTCCTCGTCACTCTTCGTCGTCGTCGTCGTCGTCGTCGTCGTGGTTGCTCGTCGTCGTCGTCGTCGTCGTCGCTCGTCGTCGTTGTCGTCGTCATCGTCGTTGCTCGTCGTCGTCGTCGCCGCCGCCGTCGTCGTTGTCGTCGTCGGCCGTCGTCGTCGTCGTCGTCGTCGTCGTCGTCGTCGTCGTCGTCTTCGTCGTCGTTGTCGTTGTCAAACTCCTTCGAATGCTTTCGAGGGCCTCTGGAGACCTTCGGATGACCTCCAGACGGCACCTGGAGGCTTCAGAGGCTTCAGACGGCCCCTAAAGACCTCCGGAGGCGTCGCTCGTCGTCGTCGCAGCCGCCGTCGTCGTCGTCGTCGTCGTCGTCGTCGTCGTCGTCGCCGCCGTC